TTCAGCAGGGGATCTTAACGCAAGCACCACTGAACCTGTCTATTACTGCTGAGCATGGTAAAAAAGGGATTTACTCAGTTCAGTCACCTGAATTCAGCACAGCCCTGTCAGTCCAGTGTCCTGCTCTGCATTACTGCTAATGCTGCCCAAATAGCTCAAACAGCCGGGACAGTGCAAATTCATCAGCGTGATGTTTCTGAAGACATTCCTCAACATACTAAGAACAGAAGGGAAAGGTCTTCTTAGTTTTGTTAAGAGCAGGATATTGTGGGATTACTGTGGAAATCGCACCTCAGATGAACAAAGCCTCTGCCTCTCCCAGGGAAGTGGGAAGAACCCAGGTTGCATTTCTCTGATCACTAGGCTGCACTGCTTTCAAGCCCTTCTGTTCAGCAGAAAGCTCTGCCTTCCTCCTCCAAGAGAAGAAAACAAACCACTGGACCTTCCACACCCAACACAGAAGTTAAAATGGAAGCTCATGACAATGTGATTTCCTCCAAGGAATGATGACAGACAGTTGTAACTTTGTTCTCTCAACTACCTTTTCTCACACCCCATTATTTTTATAAGGTGTTCCATATTGTTTGTTTCTGGCCACATCTGGATGATGAAATGCCAAGAGTTACTTAAACTGGTAATGATTGGAAAGCAGTAAATGTTGATATTACAAGAGCAAGGGAAACCCTTGGGCAAAATGATAGGTCTCTGTGGAGCACATGTGACTTGCTGGAAAAAGACCTTGTATGCTTCAACACATACAACAAGGTTATTTCTATATGCTATGAGGCATTGCTCATTGGTAGCCTCTCTGAACAACAGGTATGGATGTATCACATCAACTACACTTGCAAGTAGCCAGCACAGGCTCTTCCTCCTAATTGATTTTTAGCATCCCTCCCCAGATACTGTGAGATAGGCACAGATAAACATGTAAATGGATTAAAAGTTTCTAGGGTTTGTCAATACAAACCAAAGCAAACGCCTGAGAAATCATGGCTAACTCAGATATGAGGTCACGGGATCAAAGTGTTCAGAGATAGAAAAGACCTTTGAAGTCAACTTCTTAGGTGGCTGGAATCCTGTCCCAGGATATAGGTAGGGTCTACTGCATATCCAAATTCATCAGCTCTCAGCAAAAATGTAATAAGAAAACTGCCAGCAAATGTAAGGGAGCAGGTCATGAACTGCATATGGTCTTGCAGAACACATGGAGATACACAGATAATCTTCCCAGATCACAACACACCAGCAGACACCTTGGAAGGAATGTGACTGGCAAGGAGCAAGACACTCCCTGCATCTACCAACAAGACTAGGTGCCGTGTCAGTGGGAGCCAGATTTCAAAATACCCATAAAATTAAAAGCCGTTGGTACCCTAATCTTCAGAGCTCTTAGCACTTCCCAGCTCAGGCAGGGCCATAAAAATATTTATCAGGCCTCCTTTAGAGCAGAGCATATGGAAAGAAGGTCCAGGTTCCCTTTAAATGCCATAGCCTTGGCATGGTTTTACACCCAGATGAGGTGGGGACACACAGTGTGAGGAGTATACCACAAGTGCTCACAAGTCCCCACAATCCACTAAGATGCAGATGACTGGATGCACTGAGCACCTGTTAAAATTAGGCCTCTCAGTAAGAAGACATCCTGCTGCTACCCACCTGCAACCATTGCTCATCACACTGACAAGGAAACGAGCTCCAAAGAGGCAGCACAGCTGGCTGCCAGGGCTCAAGCAAACACAATAGTCCTGGGGCTACTCATATAACCCCACAGGCCTTTAGATCACACTAATCTCAAGCTAGGAGGCGATGGGCAGGAGGAGAGACAGGGGATTAAGTCACTACCACTGCACTCACCAACTCTTGATGAGAAGCTTATTTTGCTCCTCAGACTAACTTTGGAAAACTCAAATCTTCCCAAACAGAGAGTCTCCCATATGGTCACAATTTGCTGACTTGATTTTGGAATTACATAATATTCGTATTTATAAGCCAAGTATTTAATCATCAGCTGAAAGAACACTGGGCCCATTGTTGGCCTGCACATTATTACAGCTCCAGAAGCTCCGGGCAGCCCACCCCACTTTTCTTCATGCAATTGATCTCAGACTTTAATGAGCGTGATACTGAAGCTGCAGGCAGATGGGTACAGCAAACAGTATGTGGGGAATGAAGGCAGTGTCAGGGAACAACACATTTCCTTAGTCCTTCATGCCTGAAAAAAGTTATTATGCAGAGAAAAAGAAATTTCCCTTGCAAAACAGCCAAGCTGACATGACTCGTAACCATGCACTGTCACCTCTGCCCTTTGGTATCACTGTACCAAAACAAAACAAGGCTTAGTGCTACAGCTCTGCTCAAAGGATGGGTTTGGATACATCTGCCAGAAAGGACAATTTTTTCCTACTTAGATGTGAACCGTCTTCAACATTGAAAATGTCAAAATTTAGGATAAGAGTCCTTACCGTCTAGTCTGGGACAGCGTCAAACTTTACCAAAGTACAAAGCCCTGCTTTTGTTCAGGACACATGTCAATCTAGAACTAGTCTCAGATAATCTGCAATTTGCAATGGAAACTGTTCCTTCCCATTGGCAGACCAATTTCTCTGGGTTTCTTGGCTATCTGAAGTCCTGTTGCTGCCCTAGATAATCAATAGCCAA